TGAAATTGGTCAATTCCTGTAATCTTTGCCCCAGTAAGTCTCAAAAGCAAATTAACGGACTTTGTGGGTAACTGAGGTTGGAACATGACTTACAGAAAAGTTATGCACTGAATAAAACTCCATAGATCAAGTTCTGAGTAGATGGGTTTTTTATTTTAGACCAAATTTTCTTGCAGAAAAATAAGAATTAAAGTTGACCAGATGACACAACCTGTGAAAGGATGCTGTAAGAATAAATTGGAGACTAGCCAGTAGTTCTGACGATGGAAATCTAAGGAGATTAGAATTTTGAGTTGGAGAGATGGTTTTGTTCCAGATTTTCCCTTTTTTAACAGGAATAAAAAAGAGCTTATTCTTGCAGTCCTTACTGCAGTTATACCTCTAACTTTCACATACAATGAAATCTAGATTTAAACCATCCTACAATGATGTATACTTATGTATTCTACTCACAGAAAGCGCTTCTTGTTGTACAAATTGCTCAGTACCTGCAAGTTGCATAGTTAGACTACATTTCAGGGATGAGACAAAATACAGAGAGAACCCAAAAGCTTCAGTGCAATATCAATATTTGAATTAAAAAGGAGCATATATGTTGCATATATTCATCTAAGCCTGGGACTCTTCTAGCTGCATACCGTATTTTTTCCATTTTCTTGATGATCAATGACAACGAATGAATCACTATAATAGTGAGAAAGGCAGAGATTAAATTTAATTTAATTTCAAATTCTAATATTTCAAGATATTTTTGTCATGCCATTCATGTCATAGCCTGCCTATCCCACTAAGATGTCCTCTTGTGATGTCCAGCTACTGCAAAGCCAAGATTTAAGTTTGTTGAGATGCCTGTTGGCTTTGTTGGCAGGGCAAAGGGGAAGGCAGAGAGGGAAGAACACCACTTTCAGGCACAGATATTAACTCAAAGAGGATTTACGAGAAGAGGAAATTTGATTTGTAGTAGAAATTCTCATCTCAATAAATTCCATTTACATGTTGTACCTTGAACAATGTAGTCGTTTTGGCTTAAGTTTGTAGATAGGCACAGGTGGCTGATTACTTAGCACATGGGATAATAATCACATTTGCTACCATATTACCTGCCTGTAATTAGGAGTTAATTAAGTTAATTAATTTAGGAGTGCTCTCCTTTTTTGGAAAAAAAATCTTTTAGCTCTTTTCTGTTTAATTTATCTGCCTTAGCTGCATTTCTCACCGATGGCTGACTATCTGGATCTAGTATAACAAGAAAGAAAAACATGGAGATCTTCTCTCCCCCAAAGCCTCAGGGACAGAAAAAATAGCTTCCAGAAACAACTACATCACTTTTCAAACTTGTTTGTTTGTAGTATAGAATTCTCTGTATAGGTTGTCTTATCACTTTCATCTCTAACAACTTGTCTTTATTTCTTAGTTGACCTGTTATTTAACTGTTTCCACAGGAAATCTTATGTCCTGTATATCCTAGTGTGTAAAATGTGAATTAGCTGCCTTATTACAGCCTTGTGACCTCAGACTCCTTGTATCTAGGCTGGAAAAAAAAAATATTTTGCAGTAAAGACAGAGACAAAGCACTTTCCAGCGGGTAATCCCTTGAATACATTCTTTGCTCTTGATGATAGGGGAAAAAAAAAAAAAAAAAAGATAATCATATTATGGAATCTAGCCAAGCCAAACAAGCCCAGATCTGACCCTCGGAGTCCCTGCAGTGGAGATGAGAGAGGAGTTTGCTAGTGTGGATGTAATCAATGGATTCAGTAGAGTCTGGCTTTGTCCTGTTTATATCCAAACCAGGTTAGCTGTGGTGATTGGCCATAAAAGTTAAATTTTGGATTAGCTACATCTGAATGAGGCTGAAGCCAGCAACTTAACCTGGAGATAGAAAAAGAAGAAAAATGGGAAAGGAGCTTATAGAAAAAAGATACTAAATTTGTTGTTGACGTACCATCAGCTCATAACCTGACTTTCTGTTCTGGCTTTGGCTACAGGGAAAAGAGGAATCACCAGCAAAGTATGTGCTAGGACATGCCAGTAGGGCACGAGGAAAAGGAAGGAAAGAAATGTAAATATGGCAGCACATAGATTGTTGCAGTATCCTCTATGAGCTTTCTTTCCTGAGGTACCAGAATCATCTGCCAGGGTTTATTTTGAAAAGTTTCCCCAAAAGAAACTATTGACGATTGTAGAAATGACCCAATTAAAACCTTTCTTCCACTTTTTGTCATTTTGTGCGTGAATTAGTCTAAGTAATGATGAGTTTTCATTCCTCTTAGAAAGTGGAAGTGTATGAATGTTTCTGTTGTACAAAAGCTGTCAACACCCACCCCTCCACCCAAAAAAAACCCAGAAACCCAAAACCACAACAAAAAGGATACTTCAGCCTGAATATTACTCTTTGTTTTCCATGTGATTGTGTATTTCAATTCAATTAATTACTTGGCTTCCAAATGTAAAGCCTGTCCAGTTCTTTCCAATATAATATTTAATATTCTGCCTTTCTACATCATCTTCTTAAGGATACAGATTGTTCTCACCATTCATCTTCTGCACATTTGCAAATACAGTTGCACAGATTGGGAGCCTTATGCTTCTTTTCGTGGCCTTTAATCTCTTCCTTTAAAACTTTTAAATTTCTCTAGTCTCTTTGATGACAAATGCAGTAAACCCATCCTCCCTACAGGTTTTAAGACAATCCCAGATTATGTGGCTAGGAGAGGCAATAAGAGAATTAGAGCTAAGAAAGAAATCAGTCTTGTTCTCTAATGACTTCTTATTTTCTACTGCTGATAGAATGAAAAGATTAAATCTCTATCTTCAAATCTTTTGAGGACAATCTAAGAAGGAGAGAAGCATAAATGATTAGACAACAACTTCTGCCAGCAAAGGGAAGTGAGAATGTCACTCAGCAAACTTTTGGAATGGAGGACACGGTCGGAGACAGCCTAAGCAGCAAATAAGGCATAGTTGAAATGGTTGAAAAATTCCTCCTGGTTTTGACAGATTGGCAAAGGCATCTGTCATCCCCACTTCTATCAAAGCATTTTAAAGAGAGAAAAAGAATTTAGAACTCTATTACTTAGAGGTGCAATATGTGGATCAAGCCTGTGATAGAGCAGGGCACATTTCTTCAGATGAGATATTGGGTAACAGTCCCAATTGCAAACATGCAGAGATAGGCATGTGCTTAAAATTATTAGGCTTGTATTTAAACCATATAGTGATTCAGAGCCTCAGCTGACCTGGTAATGTCCATTTAAGAGAAATCTCCATTATTTTATTTAAAGCTCAGAGATTATGGTGAAATGCATCTTGTTCCAGAAATAGTTCAACTGATTTCATCAAGGGACTGCTCTGGATATCTGAATTTGTTTAGACAAAAAGCAAACGAGGAAGCTTATAAAAAGCGACCTATATTATATACGTAAAACATAAGTTACTTAAAAAAATGTACCCAATTCTGAGAAAGAACACTACAGGGGAAGGACTTCAGCTCAAATTCGTTCGAATAATCAACATAATTTTTTGTGAAACAAGGATTAGAGAAGGAAAATAAGCACACAAATAAAACCAGACTGGAGTTTCCCTTTGTTCCGTTCTTCTGCAGTTTCAGACACATTAACATTTTATATCCAGTTCAGTAAGCATTCCGTGTTGCCTATTTTATTCCAGTACTGTTAACTACCAGGACAAGTTAAAATTGTAGAGTCAAACTTCAGCTTTTCATTTATTTGAATTATGATTTCCTGAGCAATGTTCTTCTTACCAGCTGGTGTACTTGTTCACTGTAGTACACTGCTCACTTTGAATGCTTTAAATGGGCATCCACGTTTCTTTCCAAAATAATAAAGTAGCATTCTTGTTACTGAATAGTTACTGGCATTTTGTATTTTTAACTGTTCCTCTAGGATGAAATGAAATTAAATCAACAGAGCGTTCACTACATTTATTTTTTAAAAAAAAAAAAAAGAGAAAACAAAAATATTGATGCTTCCTGGAAACGTTAGCTATAGAACATTGTGCCCCAAAGGAAAAAACACATCGTTAGCTTGTTACTGATCTTGACACTGTATGCACAACTTCCCTGAATTTTGTGGCACTAATTCATGATAGCCTTTTAACTAGTCACTGTTTCCAAGTCCCAGAATCATGAGTAGAAATTTATTGCAGACATAGCATAAGTCACATGGATCACTAAGATGCCCAAATAATTAAATTATGGACACAGACACAGAAGTATACTATGCTGCAGATGCAAATGACCTGCATTTTCAGAATATACCCATCCTTTGCCTTGCATAGAACAAGAGACTTGCCAGATCCTAAGGGATTAAATGAAAATAAGCTTTGTGTGTGCACAAATGGAGAGTGGAGGTTTCCAGCTTCCAGTGAGGGCAGCTCAACCCAAATTTTGATTCTCAGTATAACAGCAGCTTAGCCTGGCTGGTTCACACGACACACCTGCATGTGTCATGCTTGTCCCTAGAGTGAAAAGGTTAGAAACATCCAGAGTCCAGAAAGTCAGGTTTGTTGGACAATGATGGAATCTAGTTCAAAGATTAGAGAACACAATAAAACCAATCCTAGTTGTTGACTTTACTATTTGTGACCAAAGTCTCCATTCCAAAAAGCACAAGGAAGAGCAGTGGTGTGAGTGGTATGTGCCGAACACAATGTGTTATATTTAACAGTCCACTGTCTCTCAGTCTGATATAGTGGATTGTTCCCCAAAAGTCTGTGGCATAATTCATTCAAACTGCTGTTAATCTTGCTTAGGAACACCTTACTTATACATGACTTTCAGAACACCCATTTTCTTCCCTTTGATGTCTGCAGTAGGGCAGAGAATGTGACTGTGTCTCTGCAAAAACTTCAGCATCTTACATTAGAAGCCTAAAGTACATTACGTTGAGCAAGTCATTGAAATCACTTGTAACTATTATTCCAGGTGGATTGTGTAAGGGTGTTGTTCTGTTACAGTGTTGAATTTCTTTAACTTGCAGATTTTTGACAAAGAAGCTAAAGATCTGGAGCGAGAAGTCTGCTTTATTGATATTGCCAGCGATGAAATTCCTGAGCGCTATTACAAAGAATCAGAGGTAAGAGACAGCTTGATTGTGAAATGGTGAAGAAGGGAATGGAAGAGGCTGCAGGAAAGCCCTGATAGGCATCAAAACAATTTTATTTTTGTATGAAATCTTGCTGATCAGCAGTATTTAAAAAGCTTTCGATTAGATGGAAAGCAGATAGCAACCTCTAGATTGCCTGACATGTTCTTTTGCAGATGATTCCTCCAACCTTTTGAGATGCTTTCATACTCTTATCAGAACATATCCCATACCAGTCCTTTGATAGCTAATTAATTCAAAGTAGAAAAGGACTATTTCTTTGAATCAGAAGGCTCAGTTAAGTGTTTGCAGGTCCAAATAGTTTTAAACATTACTGTTGTCCTTATTTGTATCCTGCCCCAACTGAGAAGTCATGTGAAGTGTGTAAGCCCAGGCAAAGGACAGGTATGCTGCAGTGAGAATAGGGTTGATGCACAGTTGCTCAGGGGCAACCGTGACACAAGATCAAGAGGGACTGAAGCGTTCTGCGTACTGCAGTGAATCTGCCAAAAAGCATCAATAGCAGCAGACACATTCACTCTCTTAAAATTCCCTTGAAAATTGCTCCCATGTATATTTGATAGTGCACATCTCTGAAGAGCATGTTTCTTTTAGGTCAATGCAATTTGCTGTTTTGAAATCAGAGCCACCATGCAAATGAAGATGAGGTCTCAATGTTTTAACCTTAGACTTGAAAACTGCTGGTTCACAACGAGTAGCTGGAGAGGAATGATCAGATCTATGCTTGCATTTAATTTTGGAGATGATACGATTTGCCTCTGGAGCCAAGTATATATATTCATAGCTGGCAATGAGTATGGCAGCTGTTTGACTATACAAAACGAGACTGCATCATCATTTTTAGCATAGAAAATGAAGACTTGCCAAGGCATATATTTCTATTCCATAGGAGACAGGATTTTCAGACTAAAAAAGTCAGGTACTTGTTATCTTCCATTTATAGATCCCATTTCAAATTTTATGTATGGGTCATAAAGCAAAATTGGGTCTACAGTAGAAAGAAAAGTAACTTTATTAGTTTCCTTAAATAATGAAACCCATCTGTTATATACCAAAAATTACATAACACTTCATGAAACTGCTTATCGGTCCCATCATCTTATCTGAACTCTGTGGTCTTCTGGTTCCCTGGATGACTGCTGCTATTGAACAGGTCAGCATTTGACTGTGTTTTAAAGAAATCATGTAAGATTTTTCATCTCAGTGTGTGCACTTCCGGAAATTGTAAACAGGAAGGTAACATCTAGATTTTCAGCTTTCCTACCCATTTTTAATAGCCAACTATTAAGTATAATTTCCAGATGATTAATCTTGTGACACAGAAAACCAGCCTTATGTTAAGTGAGAAAAGAATTTCAGAGTCTTTGTGTTGTTATTTCAAAGACAAATCTAGAGACCTGATTCCAAGCAAAATGGATTTTTATATGGGTTTAAACAACAAAAATAGCCCAGCATCTGTTGTTTTTTTCTGTACTGATGGATGATTGGTATGTTGGCTACCAAATTCTGTTTCAGAATTCATACAAAATAGTAAGAATACCTTAGCATTTAACTGTGCACATACTGTAATTGATACTGAATTAATAATATTTGAATTCAGTATCTTCCAGAGTTTACAAACCATGGGGGTTTTATGGTGCCATATGATGAACATGAAGCCAAATTCCCATTTCTGACGAGGCCTCTTACATAATTTAGAGACTATAAAAAGATTTTTAATGTTTGTAAATGTAATTTCCGTCTGTTTTCAATCAGAACAGCATAAAAAAGTAACTCAAGTAAATGGGAAACGGTCTGTGTTTTCCAACAAATAACGGTTTCAGAGATAACTAAAAACCATTTACTGTAAGCTTTTGAATGGTATTTTAGTTACACTAGTAACAACAATTTGGCTGCTTTTAGATCATTTAATCTGAATTGATACAAAATTTAAAGATGCAAAGTGAAGTACAATCCTCAGGATTTTAGAATTAGGTCCCACAGGATAAGTGTTCTGACTCCCATCCAGAAAGACCAACGAGAATGATTTTAACTTCAGGCATGGTAGTAATCTCTTTGTTTCAATGCATCTTTCACATGCTTAAAATTAAGCAAGTTCTGTACCAGGGTCAGCATACTTAGCAGCTGCTAGAAATGAGCTTTAAATTTCTGTTATATCCTGACCAAAGTGCATCCCTATTCGATTAAAAATATACTTCAGTTTTCAACAGCAAATTTCATTATTTAGTCATATTTCTGTATATTAGAGAGGTAGCTTAAATAATTTAAACCTTTCACACACTACTTCAATTGCTTGCTCTTTGTTAGTTCTTAGGAGCCTGCTTGTAGACGCTGACTTCTGATACGATCAGACGGCACTAATTACTTAGTTGCTATTAAGCTAGTATTTGTGATTGCCGTTATTTATAGCTTTAAAGTGCTCAGTTCTCCTTCAGAAGCCGTTTGGGTCAATATCATAAGTTTTTCAGAGTCCTCTGTATGAAAAGCCCCTTTCTACAATTTGACTGTGACCTTTCTTTGAGTTAGTGCATCAAATAACTCATTGATTATAGCAGACTGAACTGCAGGAGCTTTAGTGTTGTTTTTCTCAGTTATATAGACACAAGGTGAAGGTATGGTTGTGTATGTTGTGCAGTTACCGCAGGAGGGTCCAGGAGATATCCAAGGGACCCACAGCATCAGGCTCAGTACAAACAAGTAAAGCAGCCGTTCTCTGATTCCTAGCACCTACGATCTAAAAAAACTGGTTTTCAGTTGCCCTGACGTGAATCTTATAAACAGATCTATATTCTTCCTTCCATTGTAACTTACATAACCATGATTCAGACATAAAAAGACAAAACGTGTAGAACATCTTCATATGTATAATATTCCATTTGAATTGCATAGCTCGTTTTGGCTTGTGCTGGTACTGATGAGAAAGGAAAAGTGTTCCATGAAAATGTCATGACGGGTGACGGAAAAATTATCATCAAATTCAACTTTGTACATATCTGCTTTTTCTCTCCTCCTGTATATTAACTAGAATTAAAAACATTTAAAAGTATGGTTAGCTGGAGGCTTAAGGAGAGTTGTTGTTTCACTGAGGAACACTTTAAAGGAACCTCTGCCAATAATATTGAGTGATCTCTTGACCAGAACCACCCAAGTGATTTGAATTCCCTTAAGAATGGAGGCCTTATCTGTCAGTGTATGCACAAAAGGACTCAAATCGCCAAGTAAATAGTGAAATCAGAAGACAGTTTTGTTAGCTTTTATAAATGCATATGCAGAGTCCAATTCTATCTTCCATGGATGGATACTGATTTCTGCTGTCAAAGGAGTTGCCCTTGCAGAAGACTGGAGGACGTATCATTGCAGCAATTCTGTGTATCTCAAAGCACATGACTTAATTTTAACTTAATGACCATCTACAAACTTCACTGTGAAGTACCCACCAGAATACTTAGCAGTGCTGCCACATCTTAAAGCTTTTTTTTTTTACAAGCATGGACCTAAAAATTCTTAAACTTTTCAGAAGTTTAAATGTGAGGTTCCAAATTGAGAAAGCTTGAATCTGGATCCAAGCTAGCAGGTTTGCCTCTTTTTCTGTAAGGAGTCACATATGTTTCCAAATCTGAATGTACATATTACACTGAATACAGAATTTTGTATTTCTGTATAAAGAATGTACAAGCCTACAGGTAAGACTAGTTGTACATTTTGTAAAGTCATTTCCTTGTGACTTTACCATCAATGAATATGTATCACCAGCCATCGTGTATTCCCCATATAGACATATATATTTGTCTGAATTACAGAAAAGAATAAAACTGCGCTATGCTGAAGAGCGAGGCCCTCGAGTGAATCATTCACTGAAATGAAACATTTACTGTAGATGGGAGCTACTGAGCAAAATGTTCTTTGCCACCATATTCAAGTTCTCAGAATTAACAGTGTTTCATTTCCTGTTTATAACAAAGCAGTTGAGAGTTGGACAAATGGAATAAACTTTTTTAAGTTACCTCCAAGCAGAAGGATTTCATGCAGCTGCTGCGGCGTTCTTCTTCAATTGCTGGCTTTTTTGACTTTCCCACAGCTGCACTGTAATAAGTCCAGCTTACTACTGTCCAGGTGCTTTCAGAATAACAAAACCTCTATCACATTACAGAGCCAGAAAATGATGGTCATTGAAATAATACAGCTGCCTCAGCCCCCATAGTGAATGTGGGTAGCCTGTCAGTACAGCAGTTCAGTACAGGGCAGAGCAAAACCAGATGAAAATTTGCTTTTCCTTACTAGCTTCAGTTGTGAGCTTACATAAAGGCTGGCTGGATTATCATACTTTAACACCTCAGAACTGTCCCAGTATTTACAGTTCTTAAGTATTGAGCTGGCTCTTCCAGAAAATACATTTTAATGGAAAGTCAAAAAGAGAAAAAAAAAGTCTTTAAAAAATGACTCCGCATAAATGTCTACAGTAACATCTTTACATCAACAAATCTTTCCAGAGCCCTAGCTATATAAGCTGAAATCCAAAACTGAGCAACTACAGCTGATGGTGAAATGCCAGATCACATGTATTAAAACCATGAAGGATTGGTTCTGAAATTCAAGATCAAACAAAATGGTCTTCAGCTTAAAGGGGAAAAAAAAATTGACTGCACTTCAAAAGCACGGTGGTGGGATATATTGCAATAGGAGTCTGAAAAACTGAATCCACGCATTAAAAGGAGGGAGGGAGGGAAGGAAGGAAGGATCTGTTTCTGGGACATCTGAATACCTTCCAGTAAAAGAGAGGATGTATGGCATAAGCACAATGCACTTTCACCTCTGGAGAGTGTATTTAGCTTGGGGATCTTTTTCCAGGCTAAAATGGCCACCCAACCAGCAAGTAATTTTCAAGGCAGAATAGTGACGAGGTGAGCAAGATGTTCCCTGCAGGCTTCCAGCATACAGACAAAGAGGTGTTGTCAGCTGCAGAAGAGTGTGGCATCTTCAAATCATGCCTGATACCATGGCAAAGCTAAGGGAAAGCATGCCCATTCCAATTTTGAAGTTTTCTGTAAATATTATGTAAAATATTTCATTATTTAAATAAAGAATAACATTTCAGAATTAAATCAGAAAGCGCATCGCAACAACCCAGTGCTATACTGTCGACATGTTGGTGTTTGCCTCCTGGAAAGGAGGTTGCAATTCCCCATCCGATGCCCATGACGTCTGCAGTCCACAAGGAAGGTTAAGTAAATAAATGCTAAATGCTAAATAATGGAATCTCCAACAATAAATGTGTTAAGGCAGGACCTGCTAAACGTGGCCTAAGAAAGAAGCACTGGGAGAGTGCTATGTTTGAAACCACTGTGGCTTTTCTTTTATTTTACTGTAATTTTATATTTTATTCTCAAATAAGCCCAGCTCCTGGGTAATGATGTTTCTGCTATGTTAGCAGAAGTGCTATTTTTAAATCACTCTGCACCTGGCAATAATGTATTGCAAATACAGAGTAGGTTTTGCTCCTCTGTAGCAAAAGGATTTGCCAGATGGGCTTTCCTAATAAATTGTGTCTGATAAAAGGACGATAAGGTTATTTAAACAAAAAGATTTTAGCTATGCCATTACATTTAAAACAGATTGAGGATTTTGCCAGTAGATAAATTAAGGGGAAAATAGTGAATAGACACAGTATTCTTTGGATGATGACTTCTCTAGAAAGGAAGGCATGGGTGGCTAACAGCAAAAATAAGGCATACACAAATTTAATGATCTAAGTAATAACATAAACATGGGGTCAGACCAAAGATCAGCTTGCCCAGTTTCCAGTCACTGACAAAAGTGTTTCAAACTCAGATGTGCCACAATTCCTGCCTAGAGAGCGTGCTGCTTTGCTCTAGCCTGGTGCATCTGGTATATATTTTGCAAATTGCCATACCGTTCACAGGAAGAGCAAAGAACAGCCATGATCCAGTACAGGTGCTCAGCATTTCCTCCTGGGACCTGGAGGGATGTGAGCATGGCACGTGAGTCTGATTTGTTCTGTGTGACTAACCTAACCAGTGAGCTACAGCATGAAAGTCAGGAGGAGAAGCAGTCCTGTGCACCAATATTATTTTTACTTGCAATTAATAGAAAATTATCATCCCTGCTTCTTTTTGTTTTAGAAGGACCTTATGTGCTTAACTGCAGAGAGGTTTCTAGGCTGTGAATCTCAATCTGGCAATTTGAAGCCATGGGTTAGGCACATAAAATTATTCTGAGTTGTGGCTTCTGTGTCAAAGGTCTCATTGATTTCAGTGGGCTTTGGATCAAACATTGAAGACAAAAGATTAGCAGTGCTGACCACACCAAAGGAAGGTCCTTCTGGCGTGATATGCTCCCTATGGCTGTGGCCAGCAGCCGAGGCCTAGGAAAGGTGTAAATATATGCAAAATATAGAGATAAATATAGGGATTCTTCCCCTAAGTACTTCCTCACATGAACCATAGCACAAGCAATTGCTGAGCCAGAATTTGTGTCTTTCTAAAATAGTCCAAGACTTTTTTAAACACCTGATATTTTAGCATCCCAGTAAAAAGCCCAGTGACATTAGCTTTACTGATGATAACCACTCACCTCTGTAAAACACTCACGGCCTTTGAACTGATGGCCCAGAGATTAAACTCTCAAGTTTGCTTTGCTTAATGTTGCTGTGTATCTTACACTCCACTACTCTGCTTATATGCAGTCTTTACATGCAGCTCCCAGTGAATTGAATCATAGAATCATAGAATATCAGGTTGGAGGGGACCTCAAGGACCATCTGGTCCAACCTTTCTTGGCAGAAGCACAGTCTAGACAAGGTGGCCCATCACCCTGTCCGGCTGCATCTTGAAAGTGTCCAATGTTGAGGAATCCACTGCTTCCCTGGGGAGATTATTCCAATGGCTGATTGTTCTCACTGTGAAAAATTTTCCTTGTGTCCAACTGGAATCTCCCCAGGAGTAACTTGCACCTATTAGCCCTCATCTTTTCCATGTGACTCCTTGTAAAATGGGAGTCTCCGTCTTCTTTGTTGCCACCCTTTAAATACTGGAACATGGCGATAAGGTTGAGTTTTAGCTTTCCTGAGCAGGCACTCAGTAAGATCTTTAACACCTTGATCTTTTATAGAGCAGTGTGGGAATCTATTCCTCTGAATTTTTTCTTCTTCCTGGCTTCATTCATCAGTCTACAGTTTTATAGTACCAATACGTTAATGTTTTCAGAAAGGCTGGAATTTCCATAAAAGCTATTAGATATATGTTGCCCAAACTGTCCATCATTGCCTGGCTCTTTGCTTGAAACTCTCCAGCCAATTTGTGACTCAATGTCATGTCCTTCAAGACAAATGGACATGATTAAGGGAAGCAAAGGTGCCATCTCTGGGTGCTGTTAAAGGAATTAGCAACTAGGAGTGATGTCATGGATGAATTGCATTGCAGTAGGGGGATTATTTGTGGGCCACTGATTTAGGAACAATTTCCACTATGAACCCCCTTGTCTGATGGGTTAACTTCACAAAAACTAAAGAAAACAAAGCAAAACAGTGCTTTCACAGCATCCAGAGGGTTCTTGCAGTTTGAATGAGACACAAGTTTTATGTATGACTGGGCAGGGTATCTGTTCTATTATTTAATTTTTATTTATAAATTCTGAATAGTTGATACTGGCTCAAATTCATTACATTAAATCCCTTTGGACTGCATTGAAGTTATTCCATTATAGGTCTGGTTATCACCGAAGGGATATAAAGTATCTCTGCATAACACTCATTATTATTAAAGTGCCTATCTGAAGTGCTTAATCACGACAACGGCTCCATCACGCTAGCACTGTATGTGTAAGACATAGCAGACCCTTCCCTACATTAAACTATTTCCCTTTGATTTTCCTTTTTTCCCCTTTCTGAATATTATATCTCAGTTCTTCCTTTTTAAAAAATTTTTATTATTATTATAATTATATTGATTACTTCAGGCAATAATCAGTTATAAACCAACACTTTGAACCACAAAATATCTAGATCAATCTGAGGTCAAGCTTTATTGAGTGAAGATTGGCAACAGCATGTGACTATGAGTTGCCATATACAGTGCTATGTTGCTCTGATATATGATGGCTCTGAATAGTTTTTTATGGTGATTTAACATTGAAACCTTATTATACTGCGAGCTTAAAGTTTCTATTTAGAAAAGAATATGTCAGCAATAAAAGCAATGACTTTCACAGAGGAGGAAGGCTGTCACCTCATTAGAGCTTTGTAAAGAATCTTTAATGACAGAGCTTCAGTTTATGGATAAAATCAGAAGCCAAGTCCAGAGATAACGATGAGGATTAGAAAAAAGGAATGCTGAATGATCTGTAAGTTCACAATGAATGCAAGAAAATTACAACCAGAGCAGTCTTATCAATTTGTTAGTTTTTCTCCTGATTGTCTTCCATTTAGCACATAATTGAAGCACATCATACTCAAATACATGTTTAACTGCTTTTATAACAAAGGATGGATATAAGAGATCTTGCCAGATCTCAGCTTTAGGGAAGGCAGCACAGATGAGCGCTGGTGGATATTCTTGAAGACAGATTTTAGAAGCTCCACTATGAATTTACTGAAACTACAAAACTACATTATTTCCAAATTTCGAAAATCAGTGTTTAACCATAAATTATTTCTATTTACAAGATGTAATTAGCAGGATTGGATGTAAAGTGAGATGGAATTATACCAATATGGAAAATAACACCTTGATAGATAAAACTGTATCTTTTATGGATAAAAATAAACCTTAAAGATGAACTAATGCCCTTACTGGTTTTTAGATCTTGCTGTTGAAATTTCAACACCAATTTATTTTATTTTTCCAGTTAGTAAGTTAGTCATTCCATGTTTTGCCCTAAAGGTACCGTAACTAAGTCGTAATCAGAGATGGCTAAATTGGAGAAGTTTCATACTTAGCTGCCCACCTGGATATACAAGTTCATTTAAAATTGAAAATGGCACTGTCAAGGTCACATCAGTGTTGATGTGTCAAAGCTTATATTGGATGTGATTTCAGGAAGACAGGCACGGGTAGAAGGTGCTTGTAAGCACACTGAGGGAGCAGTGGAAAAGCAAGTGGAAAAGAAGCATCTTTTTTTTCCCCCCCCAAAGGCCATAAATAACACTTGGAGTGCATTGTATTGTAATGACTTGCAATAACATCTTTTCCTATAGCAGAAAATGTCCTAGATGATATGATTGTCAAAGTGTCTCCAAGAAGATGCTGTCATTGATTCACTGGCTGTTGGATAAAAGGCAGGATTTGATTTTAGTATATCCTAGTACTTATTTAAGTCAATTTCATATTACTTTTTCGTAATGTTTATTAGCATGTTTGCATACTTTATGTTTTATCAAAACAACATTTACTTTAGCAAGCTGACAAGCAGAACTCCTGCATTTCTCAGTACATTTTCTTTCTTTTGCAGGATCCTAAATATTTCAAGTCACAGAAGACTGGGAGAGGCCAACTAAAAGAAGGCTGGAGAGAGACCCATCAGCCAATTATGTGTTCCTACAAACTTGTGACTGTGAAATTTGAAGTCTGGGGACTTCAAACCAGAGTAGAGCAATTTGTACACAAGGTCAGTGAAACAGGAGCTGTTTCTTATCCTTCACATAAGCAGAACTTGAGTACTACCCTGCACAGGAAGGTAACTATGGCTGTGTAGGAGCTAGGGAGCTCAGCTGAATCTGCTTTCAGACCTCCTTCAAGGTCTGGAAGTTCTGGAGCAGAGCCAAAGAGTTCATCTCAGGGTATAAACTTGACAGAGCCTGGAGCTGCTCCGGTCTAAGGTTGAGAAAAACTATCAGTAACATTATCAGCACTGTGATAAACAGATGAGCTGACGTATTTATGAGTATACATGAGTACCATACACATAGCAATGATGTGAGGAATTTCTTACAAACAGGTAGCGGGAAAGTTGTCCAATCAGTCTGCTAAAAAGTTAATTAATGAATGGCATAACAGCCAAATGATAATATTTTTCAGAGTATTGACCTTCCACATGTTTAAAAAACTAACAAGGAAAAGAAGCATTCTAGTCTAATTTCCCAAAGATTAATGGATGCTGTACACATCCCCAGTGGCTTCCCATGCCAGTCAAAGCCACGCTAACGTGATCCAGCATTGGCAATGGATCCACTTCAAGTGGGAGGCTGGACTACAAGACCTTCAGAGCCAGTACGTCCCATTCTCTAGGGCCTGCCTTTTTTGAGATAAAACTATCAGAATATTTTAAACTTTAAATCATGTTGAAAGATAACAGTGTTACTTTCCTAAAATGTTTTGTTGCTGCAGAGGTATTTAACCTTTTCCTTGTTTCGCAGGTGGTCAGAGATATACTATTGATTGGTCATCGGCAGGCTTTTGCCTGGGTTGATGAGTGGTACGGTAAGTATTCTCCAAATTTAGCCCATTTAAAAGGGTTGATGCAAAGCTGATGACAATTAACAACAGATTTCTATTTGCTTTCATAGACCATCAGTTCCTAGTGTAAGTTGTTCATGAAAGAGATGGAACTATGTTCTGTTTCTCTGGAACATACGGAGCTCACTTACAGCAGGTTCTTTGTAGCAAGAGTAGGCTGTATTTTAGGCAGCCAGTAGGCAGCATACAGGGACGCCTTTACATCCCGTGCATCTCAGAATATATGCATCAGTCCCGTCACCCTGCATTGTAGGCAGATAGGAGCTGCCCCTGCCAAGAGTCATCTATATGGAGAACCGCATGCAGCTTTGAATAAAGCTGCTTATTAAGCCTGCATTAACATGCAGTCATTTCCATACTGCAAACTCCTAAGGCCTCTGATCCAACGCTATTTTAGCTATTTAGAAAAGTTTGAAACTGCTAATATGGATTGCAATAAAGAAAAGATGGAGCTCTAATATCCTTTCTGAAAAATGGATATAAATGTAAAACCCACTGGGTCTGATTCAACGGCAGCTGCGTGCAAACACTGTTCTGAATCCATGAACCAGCTGTAGGAATGGGCACTTTCCATAGCACAGAGTAATCCTGAATATCAAAACAGCCACTTATATTTTATAAAATTAGCTCACAGGGTTTGTGCTTTTTACGTATATTTTCAGTAAGATGTATCCATAATTACAGATACTTGTAGAACAGTTTCTAAAACATAACACACACATAATAGGAATTTGGGAATATAATTAGAAAGTTTATTTAGACCCTATTTAAGCTTCAGGAAACACCGTTTGGTGCATTTCACAGATAAGAATGACACCTGTCTGTCAAAACTCAGAAACATTCTGCATTGCTTAAAAATAGTTCAGTTAGCCCAGCTGGTGCAAACACAGACATCTCCAGTGACTTCGTAAACCTGCATAATTTTACACTAGAATCTAACAAGAAACTCATTGTGCTGGTTTTTTTTAAAATATAGAAAAATTTCCTTTTGATATCACAATGTTCTTATAAATTTAATAGTGCATGAAAATCTCGTGCTGTAATGATCATAAAAATACTGAGATCCACTAAAAATATCTGTTATTTTGAGATAGCCATAAACTAAGAGAATTTTGTATCCAATGAGAAAGAGTTCTTAAGTGTGTGTGGGGGGGGGGGGGCCATTTTTCTCTTGAAATATAGTGATCTGTTATTTTCCCTGTACGAAGTCAGGGAAATTGATGACTTTATTTAAAGAAGCCTGACTTCATGTAAAAATTGAGCCCATAAGTTTACCCCAATTCAACCCAGGATATCTATTACAGCAAGACATAAAGAAATGTTACTGGGAAGCAAAGAGTCATCTGCACTTTAGCAGAGTTATTGATAATGATAACAAGTGAGTAATCATGAAGTTAAATGTATGGAATAGGTTTAGCCCAAAAACATTTACCCACAGATTTTCCCATCTTAACTCTGAATGCACCTGTCAAAAATACTTTTTCCACAAATGAAATATTGTGATGCACAATCACCTTGTGGATTTTTACTGTCACGGTGAGTCTTTTTACTAAATAATATAGTGTACTTTTAGAATTTAATTGTCAGGCTAAGTACAAAACCTAAAAAAATGTGGGTTTACTAAAATAGATATGAATAAAGGCTAAGTATATAGCAAGATTTAGAAACGATTTATAAAAAAAAGTGCAGAAAGTTAGTTCAGGCAACTCTGTGCTGTCTGCAGCCCTTATACCACTGCATTGTTCTGAAGTATAACAGCCGGTAAGACTTGCTGACTAAAACCCAAGTATTTCATTATCCAAAGTGAGTGAGATCCAATTTGTATACATCCAGTTCAATTTAAGATGCATGATCTGTGGTACATACATTGTGGTACTGCTCTTGATGTATAGATGTGTGTAGGGAGAGTTTTTCAAAATTAAATTTTTAAAGCATCTGTGTGCCTTCAATGTGTCTGTTACCATCCTTTAAAATAAAAGTTTGAGAAAGGCTTGGAGATGATCAGCTAAGTCAGCTGAGCTGAGTCAAATAATCAGTGTGATAAAATCAATTATTAAACAACATGTTATGTTATGGATATTCCTGACTGATTGCCGTTACTGATACTGTAAGTAGGAATGTGTCTTGTCATTAAATTTACTAAACTGTATTTAGCTTTATTATTACTAAAATCTATTTTTACAGTGTTATTTACTAACAAAGAGCATGTTCTCTGCTTGGCAAAATGCATCCTGAGCATGTTACTGACATGGCTTATGAGCTTGTTTTTCATTCCAGATAACAGTAAAAGACTAAAAGCCTATGAGTTAGTGGTATTCCATGTTTCCTTTTGATCAAAATTTTAGACTGCATTTCATTTTCACTGATGAAGTATTACCTCGTGCTACTGATATAACAGCTAAAGTTATATCTTTCCTTAAAAGCTGTCTCATAAAATGCATCTAGAGCCTCATATCACATAAGGAGTGGTGCAATATCAGAATTCGCAAATCCAAGTGGCACATAGTAAACCTGTGAAAAATGATAGCCTCAAGAACAAAAAAACAGTGTACATTACCAAAGGTGGTACACATTTCCAAGTGTATTGTGCTAATAAAATGCTATTTAAGTTCTATGAGTAACAAGTTGATGGCTATTTTCAGGCAGCTCTCAAGTTATCAAACCGTTGTAAAGAACAGACCAAAATTCTGACAGCCTTCGTGTTCACTTACACCTTACTCTCAAGTAGATTTATTGAAAGCATGGGAATACTCAGAAGAGTAAGGTCACAAGTCAATTAACTGGATTCTTTATGTTTTCATGGGAATTATGGTTTATGACAAATGTTTTTAAAATCTGTAATAATTGCTTTGAGTTACATAGCAAGCACCTAACAGATTATGCACTAGTTTGACAACATCAGGCATGCCTAGACAGTGATAAACGATCCTACTGGTACAATCAACCCAATTTGTAGAATATTTCTAATTCTTACAATTCATTAAATTGCTTGAGGCTACAAAACTGTTAACATATTCACTATTAATTCACTTACCAGTATAATTAAGTGTTAGTTTCTGGAATCTAAGCTGATATGTGCTCTAACAGCAAGAATGTTTGCTGGCTAAGAGATGCACTATGCAAAGATAACATAAAATCTTTTTGAAAGTTCCTGGAAAGGTAAGTAAATATTTATAATATTTCTGTATCTATCCTTTATTCCAAGGGATCTTCTAAAATCTTTTTAGAAGATCTTGGCCTTTTCCAAGGCCTGCACTTAATATTTTTGGCCTACCTTATTGTTACACAGATACTCCTAAACAATTTCCACTCCTTCCTGTTCTCTGACTCCCTTTGACTTAACCTTCTTACACCTTCCTTGGCTGATATAACTACCTTTATGAGTGAATTTTCATAAAGCTAGTTGCTCCATGCTTTTTTTTTTAAATCCTTTGTTGGCTTCTGCTGAAAGACTATATGTTCCTAGAACCTTCTCCTTAAAAAAAAATTAAGTTTGCAGTGAATCAATGGAAAATGCCAACAATTTTGAACTTTTTACAGATATGACTATGGATGATGTTCGAGAATACGAGAAAAATATGCATGAAAAAACCAACATTAAAGTTTGCAACCAACATTCATCTACTGTGGATGAAATAGAGAGCCATGCCAAAGCAAGAGTATGTCAATTTTTAAAACATATTGCCCATCTTCAGCTAATACACCTGCACAGATCAGAGAAGAGCAACCGACTGATCTTGCTGACCATTGTCAGTGGAATTTTGGGGAGGTTTTGCTTCAGTAGGAACAGAATCTTTCTCCATGAAGTGCAATCCTGCCTTTTGTTTGCACTGTAAACTGCCACTGATGTAAGGACGGGTGGGGTTGGGCTCATATATACAACTCCTTGTCTTCCAGGAAAACACAATTCTCAAATTTCACTTGGACGCATAAAGGGGAAGTTAAATATCAGTTTTACCTTATATTATTTAAATAGTTAAAAAATGGAAGAGTTCAGAGTGCTTCAGTCAAAAAGCCAGGAACATGGGGAGTGGAAAATTTCTGTGGGACTGATAAAATTGTTTGCTTCACCTATAAAAAAAAAAGCTAATGAATTATTCACTCTTTTCAAACTGATTTTAATGTTGTCCTTGATTAGCTACCAACAGGGTGAGAAGTATTTTCAGAAGTATATAACAGCAGTTTGGGGAGAACGGCAGGTTTCTGTGTAGGTTCCTTGATTCAGATTCTGGAAACTTCATAAAGTATTTAAGTTCCAAATCTGGGCACCTCAAGTAAAGGCCTAAAATTAGAAATTACTACTGTCTGCAAATAGAAAAGATGCAGTGATATTTGCTTTTGAAATGTTATTATTGCTTTATTTCTACTAACTGCGCTGTAGAACTCAGTGGTGATTTTACTCATGTAACGCGCATGGGGCAAGGCCTGAAGGTCTACATCTTTCCTTTGTTTCTACTCAGTAAAAATTGTCACCAGCCTGAGGTGGTGTTGTCTAAGTAATAACCAGGAAGGCGATTCTTGTGTTTGTCATGCTGCAGCTCCATTGACATCACGGTTACTCCTTAGCTGAGCGGTAAATTGAGAATCAGCTCTGACTTTGGCTCTACACTTCAGGATTTGGCTTTGCGTGAAGTCTTAGTTTGTTCCCATGTGGCAAAATTGCCATTGAGGTCAGCACAGAACTTGTCATTAATGAAAATGAAAGAGTCTGAGCCATCTTAGCTCAGGGTAAGGACTGGTTTTACTTGAGTGTATATCAGAACAGAAGTTAATTTAAAGCGAGTATAAGCTAAAAAGCAAAGTCCACTGAACGGACAATACGTGTTTCATGTCTGAATTTAAAATGGGCAGTCTTGGAGGATACCATTAAGTAAGACTTTAATCAGTCTTCACTTAAACAGCCAGTAAATTGAGAAATCTTCCTGTCCTCTTTCACTTTCATTTATCCAAGACAACTTTTGTTTCATGTTGTACAGAAGTCCTCAATCGAAAATAGCTGAAATGAATGCACGAGCTCCCTTTGATGTCAGGGTGCTTTTAAACTCTTTGAGTTCAGAAACACTACACACACTGTTACAGGGTGAAACAAAATGTAAATCAGCAAAACAAGTTCAAATGTATCTCCACCACAAGTAGGTACAGTTCCTCTGAGACCATCTGTTTATTTCCACCACTTATCTCTGATTTGAAAATAGCTTGGTCTTCGCTCCTAATAACTGGCACAGCAGCACAGGCTGAAAAGGTGCCTGGCGTGTCGTCTGCAGGGAAGAGAGAAGGCAGCTGGCAACATGCATGCTTTTGTTTATTTAATAAGATGTTGTAATACAACATAAAGATTCTTCAACATTACATTTGCAGCCAAGGCTACAGATGCATGCAGCTGGGTAATATTATATTAAAGAGTATCGATGTACTGAAAGTATAGGATTTTGTCGGACATATGGTAAGCACCATTGCCAGTCCTGTGTCTCAGATGCCCAAATGTGCAAGAATTTTAAATTGATTAAAATGCTAGTGGTTTTATTTCTGGGGTTTTTTTGAGCTTTCAGAGCTCAAACAATCTAGAAAATGGTTTAATGAAATATTTCAAATTTACAAATTTAACATGATGTTCAGTGAAAACTCTAAAATTTATTTCAGTTGGCTCAGCGGACATCTTGCAGGCAATGTAGACATGAAGCAGCTGGTTTCAGAAGAGTCTTGCTGAGTTTTTTTTGCTCAACTTACCAGTTTGTAGCAGATGTCATTCGTTTGGGATTTAATTGAAAAGTTTTGCCTGGCTCAGCTCAGAGCACATTTATGCTGGGATCGCTGTGCCCTCTTGTGGGTTTCTGCAGCACTGTGACACATTTGTCACCTGCCTGAGGAGACTTTTGCTGCTTTAAAAGCTTTCTGTGGACCAAATTTTCCATTGTAAAGTGGCTTTAACCTCTCATCTCATTTTGCAGGGAATTAAGCAGTGGATTTGTCGGTTGGCAATAAATGTTTATGTACAGATTCTGGATGGAAAAGTTGGAAAGCGTGTTGTGGCTTTATCAAGCGGGAGGGAATTCTTTAGGCTTTATTAGTAGAAAAGCAAAATGGCCTCAGTTATGTGCGTGCAGCTGCAACTAGAAGTCAATAGAAGCTGTGCATGAGGGGAGAAAGAATTTTCCATCCCTTGATAATTACAGTAGATGAACAAACTGGTGACAACCACTTTAGCCGTTCATGCTCATAATCTAGATGCAAAAAAACCCCCAACCCCAACCTATCAGTTTTGTTTCAAGTTCTGAAAAATTCTACTTGCTGAGTGTGTATCTAAATGTATTCTTTAATTGCCTGTGAAATAGCTTGATTTTTCCAGCAATTGCAGAGGTAGCAGTCTTTATTCAGTTCAGACCCAGGTAGAAGAGGAACCATTAGTATGTGATTAATGTACTTAACTTTGTTTCCTGTACATTGGCTGCTTATTGTACTCCAATCAATGCATTACAATAGGAAGGCATTCATGTGGAGAATCACTTAATGATACACATGATAAGCAATCATTCCTTGATTTAGAAGTTGGATGGAAGTAGTTTAACTCAGTAAATGAAATGATAATTTGAAATTATTCTAACATGCCTTTATCTTTCTTTCCTTCTCATTGAAGACATGACAATGGATGAAGTCCGAGAGTTTGAACGAGCAACTCAGGAAGCTACCAACAAGAAGATTGGGATTTTCCCACCTGCAATATCTATCTCTAACATTTCCATGCCTTCTTCAACCCGCAGTGCTCCATCTAGTGCTCCATCAACTCCTCTCTCCACAGATGCTCCTGAATTCCTGACAGTTCCCAAAGACCGGCCTCGGAAAAAGTCTGCTCCAGAAACTCTCACTCTTCCAGATCCAGCCAAAAAAAACCTTTAAATTAACCCAGCATGTTTCCTCCTGATAAGCCATGTCTACCACAGCGAGAGTGACATAATTCAATTTCTACAAAGGTCATGGTGGTTTGTTGGTTGTTTTTTGCTTAAAATAATCTTACTGGTGTGGAAAGATTACTTCTTTCCTCAGACTTGATCCTTAAAACCTTCAGAGAAGTGCATGCAAGAGAACATAGTTTATATATTCCTAAAGTAGTGTTTCAAGCCATATGGTGCATATTACTGACATGCAATGAAATAGTCTGAGGGGAACCCCGTAAAAGAAAACAAATCTTTCTGTAGCAGTATTCTACCTGTAAACCCTCATCTAGGTCATAGCATTAATAATTAGGAGTAGGTATTTAGTAAAGCTGCCAAGGACTTCTGAGGCAAATTAGTGCCAAGTAGAATGCAGGGTTAACAGGAAAAAAAACCCCTCCCATTTTCTTCTTCTATAGCTGATTTTAAAATCCTTCCTACTCTCAGGCTTCTCCTGTGTATTCATAAACCTTTGACCTGTAACTCATTGTACTCGAACACCAACAGCAATCACTCGGATTCGCATTCTGCTAAATATGACTCAGGATTTGGGGCCTAGCTACCAAACACAAAACTTTTCAAACCTAAAATATCACTGTATTGGTGCCCCAATTGTAATTAATTATACTGACTTTGAGGCCATTGAACTATTTCTATCTTGCACAGAATTTGTAAAAGAAACCACCTATTTCTTGTAGATAATGTATTTTAATAGCTCTCCCCTGTCCTTTTGTGATCTCTAAGTCCATATTGGTGTTCATCAATGGTGTTCCATGTGTAAGATTAAAAAAAGCAGCTAAATTGAGCCAGTTGAGAAGCAAAACCAATGAATTCTGTCTTGTCCTCACTGGAAGAAGAGTGGTAGTTATGCTGTAAGACCTTGAATGTAAAGGAAAGAAAATATGAGACTCCTTTTTCTTTCCTGCCTCACATCTTTCCTAAACAGCACAATCTCTACTAACAGAAATCTGGTTCCAGGCTTTACCATCATCTCTAGAGAAGGGGTGAACACAATCAGTCACTGTAAAAGCAAATGAAACAATCGTGGGGCTACTCAGTCCCATGTAAGGTGACATTAAGGAAACAGAAGTGCTCTTCCTGGTCTGCATGTGAAATCACTCTTCAATCTCAGGAATTAAAATGTAGAAAAGGATGTTTCCCGCTAGGGAAGTGTAGATTGTGGAAGGAGGAGAAAAATAAATGGCAGAAGTGGTCTCTTCCTTCCTTCCTTTTCAAAATGTAAGCTCAGTGAGAAACTTTCCCCGCTGACCCCTATTTGGGGTACTTTGCTCTCTTTCGTACAAATTGCTACTTAATGAATGCTGTCAGTATCTGTCTCTATTGGTAGCTGTAGTAGACCTTAAATAAGGCGCTGCTCAATTCCCAGTGAATGATAGCTATTACCTGAATCGTATGATCAAAGTGGGCGATATTTTGTACATGGATAAAGAGAGTCCTCCAGAGCTGAACTATCACTGAATATTGAACAATCGGTTTGCGGACGGCCTTTCACCTGGACGGGATGTTTTTGCCATCGTCTCAGCACAATGCTGTGCTTTGACTGGCTTAAATGCACTGAACTTCTCAATGGCTGTAGATACAGTAGAAGTTATGTTGAATGTGTGATATTTATAGGGTAGTTTTAGTAGCAGGAGAGGTAATTCCACTGCCAACCTGCACTGAAAAGAAGTGTATATTTGTTTGATAGTTAAAATCCTGTAGCTAGCAAAATCTGGGAGCTCTTTGTAGGTTAGCTGTGGTCTGACTTCATGCATTCTCCCACTTACTGTCCATGTTTTGCTTTGCTGTTCTTCTCAGAGCTAGTAATTCTGTGTGATTAGTAAACTGAGTGATGATTTTTTTGTTTAAAAAGAAGCCGCTGTAATGATGCAAACACAACTTTCCTACATTAGTTTATGATCTTAAAGGTCTTTTCCAACCTAAATGATTCTATGATTTAATCTTAAAAAGTGTGCAGATTAAGGATTCATGATTATAACTGGTCTAGTCTTATTATTATTATTTATTTAGTAGCAAGTTTGGAACAGTGGCAGAGAAGGGAAACCCTTGAAAACATAAAGCATTGTTTGGTTGTTTATTCATTTCCTGAATTTGACCTATACAGAAATGGTTTAGGTCTGCTCCACTTGAAAAATCTATTTTTCAATGAATTTTTTCCTTGTCAAAGAAAAATTTGTTCAGCTGTAGTCATAATGCCCTTGTGCTTACATATTACCATTTCTGTATATGTTTTGGCATCTGGGTTTGACACAGGTTATTAGACCGAAGCAGTCATACGTTCACTCATGTTCAACTGATTGATTTCCAGTGGCATCTGGGTTTGACACAGGTTATTAGACCAAAGCAGTCATACCTTCACTCATGTTCAACTGATTGATTTCCAATCCCATGCGGATACATTGATTATCATATTAAGTAGGTTTGGGGATAAAGCATATATGAAAATTATTAACATACCTGAACAGGACACATCTTAATAACTGCGTGACAGAGAGGTAGGAGAAAGATGCTGATGATGTCATGTAAAAAAATGACAGACTGCTCAATGCTGTGTCTCCATCTGCGTGTGCTGCTGCTGCAGTGCCTCCACCCAGCAGTGCTCTTCTCGAGATTACCAGATTTATTGACCGAACAGCCTGAATTCACCATTGGCCACCACAAGGATCACGATCAGCCTCACTGCCTCCATGTTGCTTCCTAATGAAGGCAAAGAAAAAAACATCTGTAGTGTTTCATTGCTTTGGGTAAGAAATACCCGAGGCTTTTAATTGCCTCTGCCATGTTCTGCTTTGCTTTCCCCCATCAGTCGTTACCCATTTGGTCAATATGATCTTTAAATATCTTTTTCTGTTTGCTTGGGGTTTGTTTGTTTGTTTGTTTAAGGTAGGATAACTTTTTCTAGGATATTCCCAGCAAACACCCAAACCCACACAAAATTAAATGCAAAGGAAGGTCTGAATACTTTGGTTTAACAACCTGAGGCAAAGGGCTTTTCATTACTGATTTTTTAACAGTGCTTTCTGTTGTATTTTCAAATATGTTTATTGGGAGAAAAATGGAGAGCATTTTCCAGGTGTTCATCACTTCTTTTGCAAAAATAAAAGATGTGATTATTTAGTGAGCACATCTTTAGAGTGTGGTGCCACACAGCAAAGCTGAACAGGCACAACAGCCACTGTCCTCTTCTCTGCCACAGTGACTGAAAAATTACACGATCCAGCTCTGCTAGGGCTTGACAAGGAATTTCTCATCAAGGGCAATACAGTTCAGAGCAAATAAGGCGATTACTTTGTTTGGGTTTCTATTAAAACCTCCTCCCAGCTTTGCTTGTACTTTTATGTATTTCATATAGAACAATCATTACAAAATAACTGGCAATTCACTGCAGTCTTTAGAAGGGTAGATCTCCTAATAAATTAAAAAAGGGAGGTATCCATAAAGACTACGAGGAGCAGCACATTCCTGAAACACATACTTAATGGGATTTCTATGAATGTAATGGTTAATTTTGTAAATGACTGGATAAATCCTATGGAAAGAAACTATTTGACCTTCTTCTTTGGCTTTTTTCATTATTCTGGAAGGTGATTTTTGTGACATCTAGTAGCCAATTTGCATTAATTGCTGCTGTAGAGATTTTGAAATGGAAATATTTGTTCCTTGACTTTTAGTTTGTAACAAGACCGCTACATTTTGTTAAAACTGCTTTGAAGCTTGCTGCACTGTAACTTCAAAACAATGTGCTGTCATTTGAAATAAGCCAAATGTATATGCTTCTTATGACTTAGTGAGTGCAGTAAGAGAGAATTCCTGATCTTGTCAATAGGAGCTTTTCTGTTTCCATTGTTTGGACTTGGGTTTATATGTGTAGGTTAAAATTGCTAAATAAGTCTAACAACGTTTTCCTTTAAATGAATAGCATGGTCATTGAATTACAATCTCCTGTAGTTTTGTGGTGTCACTAAAACAGGTTTCATTGTTTTATTTCATTTCTGTGATAATTCCACGTGACTCTGAATGTCCAGTAATTCATTTATTTTATTTAGAGCAATGATGGCTACATTAGGAAATACATCACCACCATCAAAGAAGGACCAAGTTTTGAAATGCTCTGCACGTTAATGCAAGGCTCAGCAGGAGAATTTGTCATATTTCTCATTCATATCACTTAGTTTCTGATTTTTCCAAGTTATTTATTATTTTAATATTGTATTTTTCCTTGCATTTTGTTGTAAATAAACTACCAACAATTATTCTTTACAATTGTTGCTATTTTCTTTTACTAGGTCTTCTCTAGCAGGGAACATAGCCATTAGCATTTCTATGCCCAGCTCTGCAAGTCATTTCCTCAAAATTACAAAGCGCAAAGAATTGGCTTTGTAAGGAAAATTTAAACCACTTACAACATCTCCTAGGTTTTGGTGTGCCTCAGCTTTTTAAAGATTTTATCAGGGCAGGTGCCCGTCAGTCTGGTATCAGCCCATTCATTTGTAAATGACCACTTGGGTGACAAGGACTTTTTCAGTGGGGATTCTAATTCTCTATGCAGGGTTTGGCAGCCTGATGTTGTAATAAATACTGGAAAAGAGACCTCTGAAAACCTCTCCGAAATTAAGAATCCTCCAACGCTTGTCTACAAGTCAGTTCATTTTAGTCAACAGAAATTTCACGTGTACACTGATTCTTTAAGCTTTTAAGCAGAGGCTTACTCAACAGAAATAAAGCTTCCTCTGCACCAGAAGAATGGTCTTTGCTTATTCAGTATAGACATGCGATGTAGGACAGGACACAAGGAACAAACATAGGCCCTGAAAATACTTAAAGGTTTTGGTGTTATGGTGTTTTTGTTGGTTTTTTTTTTATTTAAGGCCTGCGTGGCCTTGGGTCTGTGGTAATGACATCTCGGTGGCTTCAGTGCATAACGACCCTGTTGGGGTACGTGTGCCGGGGCCGTGCCCTGCTCTCAGCCGAGACTCTGGCCGAATCTTTGCCACCAAAGCGAGGTTGTGACTGTCCTCTACGAGGTGAAATTACGGCTGGGTTCTCCCGCGAGCAGATATGCCAGCAGCAAGACCCCGAAATTACAGTGCTGGCAACACACGTTCCCCAAC